ATTGGTGAAAACAATTTATTTTTGAGCAATGAATATAAAGGCGCATATCAGTATTTCACTTGACGACTCGAAGGAGACTTGTCGCGTCACTGTGTATACCTTCAGTTTTTTTAAATATAATTCCATCACTCTGTATTAAAAAAAAGTGGTTTTTACGACCGTGCAAATGTCCTGATCCCATAAAATCGGTTCAACGGACGACGAGGAAACCAAAATCCTTGAAGACTTGGTCAACTTTATACCTGCTTTATAAATTCATTTTTAGAACGTTAGAAGTTTTAAAAACAAAAAATATTTCCTTGAAACGATAATGAGATATCCGTCGTTGACTAAAAATAGGTAGGTTTACAAAGCCGACCAACTTTATTATTTATACAGGGTCACTGAGAATTCCAATAATCGATAGACAAGATATTGAATGAAATCTTTAAAATAAAAGAAATTAGGTAGGTAGAATTAAACATGTAGTGAGTGAAAAGGTAGAATTAAACATCTAGTGAGTGAGAAATCTTTTTTTAAATTTTTCTTAGAAAATCCTTAAATAAGGCAACTCTCCTGGAATCCTGATCATATCCTAAATAAAATCTGAGCGATATTTTAACACTGATTTTGTTATTCATGTTTAAAAATAAAAATTTTTTTAATATCTTATATAGCCCTCAATCTATATTTTTTGTTTCATCATTTAAGTTGAATGACTTTTAATTTTCTATTTATAGTACTTTTTTATTTCAATTATCTGAGCATTTAAAAAATTAAAAGTAGGTGTAAGTAAAGGATCTTATTATAGAAACTTTTCTGGGTTATTGTTCCTCTAAAAAAAAATAGAATTAAATCTTATATTATATGACGATTGGGTATAAAAGGTTATGTTAATCATTCAGCCTTAACCCACTAAGCAAAATACATTCACTGCAAATTTTTTGCAAGCTTACAAATAATGCAAGTTTGTTCGTCAAGTTTGAAGCTGCCTCACTCTAAACTTGAAAAAAGAAACTTAACATGCCATACTTTATGACAACTTACCAAATTAAGATCAAAAACTTTAAAGAACTTTCATTAATAAATTATCTGAAACTTTTTAAAATCACACTTGACTTACCTTGTTAAATTTGAAACTTTTATCCATTATAAATATACCAGGTGTTCCATTATATATTGAACCATGACATGCGGTTTTCATCAGTCTTCTTTTAATTTTTATAATGTTGTTTCTGCTCACATCTGGCTTATCCAGAAATGACATTTTGTATTTTCAGAGATAGGACAACTTTTAATAAATATACAATGTACCCACTTAAGTTCGCAGCAAATGGGAGACTTTTTTATTCACTTTACGAAAAAAAGTTATTCTTCATAAAAAGAAATCAAATTTTTACAATAGTATAGGAGGTATGTCAAATAATATGAATTTTGCTGAAGAGTGAAGTACCTTTATTTTTGACAAACCTCTTATATGACTGATAAAATTTGATATCAGATGATTGAATTTTATGTTTTAGATCATAAAGAACTTTTAATGAAGATAAAATTTTTTCTCTAAAATTAATAATAAAAAAGTTTTCCATATGCCGGTAACTTACGTAGACAGTTGGCGGCATATGGAATGTTTGTTAGTTTCTATGTTTAGTGGAAAAGAAGACAAAACTGTTTTTGATTTGTTTTCCTTTATGTGTATAAACACTAATTGAATTTAGAGTGGAATGGCCCATCTTCATTTTTAGGACAATCAGTTATTTTCATTTAAATATGAAATACGTACCAACTTTTAAATTTTAAATGTACCATCTTGAATTATCATATTTTTTAGGGTGGAAAGTAACATTATAGTCGCATTATTTTTTGTATTGGTTCCTTGAATATTTAAGGAAAAATACTTTTTCAACCCAAATACAATCCTGTAAAATTACCAGCAGGTGTACTTTATGGAAACTCCCCTCTAACAGCGGCAAAATTGCAATTATGCGGATTACCTTAAGAGTTCCAATATGCTTTCTACTAGAGATTAAAGAGAATAGGTACCTGCCCATAAAGTAATTCGCATTTCAGTAAGCCGTTTCTAGGAAAATGGTAAAAGGAAATATTTTAAGCAGAAAGTCATAATATCCTTTATTCGCTTCTTTGCAGAACCAAACTCACAAACTTTACTCTAAGGGGTTCACTATAAATAAATTGATATCCCGCAGCATAAACAGAACTGGTTTTTTTTTCGGGTTTCTAAAATTCGATGCAACCAGATCTTTGAAGAACCCGAATAAACTGAATATTCTATTTTTGATCACTCATTTTTGACCGATTTCAACTAAAATTTCAAAAAGGCAAATCTTCCTCAACTATACTAGACTATCTGTAGAATTTATTGGAGTAGTTTGAATACAAGCGCAACTTCTGAGGAGACTTGTTATTTATTTTATTCTATCTTAAATTCCGCAATTGCCGCTAATGTTCCAAAAACTGTACCAAGGTGCAATTCAAAATACCCTCCTTGGTTTAATAGAAGTATAATTTCGGATTTGAGGAAAAAATCATCTCTTTATCGTTTGTATAGAAGGACACTAGAGGCTGAAATTTATACTGAGTTTAGTATTCTTAGGTCAAAAATTAAACGCGACATTTCAATAAACTATAGGAATTATTTGACAGATATTGAGAATAGAATATCTTCTAACCCCAATTATTTTTGGCAGTATAAAAATTCAAGGAAAAACTGCAGTAGTATACCAAATGTTATGACTTTTGATAATAATCCTTTAAATAATTGACAAGACATTGTCAATGCATTTGCTACATATTTTCAGTCATCGTACACTAATTCGTCTAAAATTGATATGTCTAAACTAGATAATGTTGTTAATATTAACAGTTGTAACATTCCGCTACTTACAGAAGATGTCATGAAAGGTCTTAAAAGATTGAAACCTAAAAATATTAGAGGGCCAGATGATATTCCGGCATTTTTAATAAGAGATTGTGTAAATATTTTAGCCAAACCTTTAACCATGGTCTTTAATATGTCCTTACGAGAAGGCAATTTTCAAGTAATTGGAAGCTATCTAAAATCTGTCCAATCTTTAAGAAAGGATCCAAATCTATTATAGAAAACTATATATCCTATATCCATCCTTAGAAATTTTGGAAAAGTTTTCGAAAATGTCACTTATGAAATACTTTTCGCTCATGTAAAATCGATTATATCTACGGCACAGCACGGCTTTTTTCCAGACAGATCCACAGAGACCAATCTGATATGTTTTACACAATATGTTGCGGAAAACCTTGATAGGGGTGGTCAAGTTAAAGCTATATATACTGACTTTTCCAAGGCCTTTGATCGCCTCGATCATAGTATACTTTTGAACAAGCTTTCCATTGTTGGACTCACTACGTCTTTTCTGCGTTTCTTTGAATCATATTTAAGTAATCGTAAATTGAAAGTCGAATACCATGGTTTTCAGTCAATTTGTATAAAAGCTTCTTCCGGTGTCCCTCAAGGTTCAGTTCTAGGACCACTTTTATTTTCCATTTTTGTAAATGACATTACTGAAAACCTATCATGTAATACTCTACTCTATATCGATGATTTAAAATCAATCTCCAGTATTGATGACTGTTTGATTATGCAGGAGAACCTAAATAAATTGAACCTTTGGTGTAATTCTAACAACTTACCACTAAACATATCTAAGTGCAATTCTATCAGCTTCACTCGCAAACTAAATCCGATTGAGTATAATTTCACTGTCAACAATATTATTACCATCAATAAATGTCTTTCTTTTAGAGATCTTGGTGTTCTTTTCGACGCTAAGTTAAACTTTATTGAACATGTCAATACTATTCAAAAAGAAGCATACAGAAATTTGGGTTTTGTCATTCGAAATGGACGCCAGTTCTCTGAGCCTAACACTTTAAAAACTATTTTTAACGCTTTTGTACGTAGTAAGCTAGAATATGCGTCCATTGTTTGGAGTCCTGGAAATGAAGTACATAGCCAGGCATTAGAAAAAATTCAGCGACAATTTGTCAAATATTTGTGGTGCAAGCTAGATGGCGTCTACCCTACTCGCAATATTCCGCAAACCATCTTGCTGAATAGATTTGATATCCTTGAATTACGTACTCGCAGGAAATGTTATTCCATCTGCATTCTTTACAAATTATTAAATTTTAAAATTGACTGTCCCGAACTACTTCGTCAACTAATGTTTAATGTTCCTAGTATCAGAACTCGCTCCCCTTTTTATTTCTATTTTCAGACACCCAGGACAAATATTTTAAAATTTTCTCCAATGTATTTTATGTACAAAATTTTTGTGAACTTCAAAATGATGTTGATTTATTTTCTATTTTAATTAAAGAAATAAAACGCTTAATTGTGGACTGAGTTAATTATCATAAGACAACGTAATTTTTTTTCCTAACGGAGTTTTTTTTGCGTTTTCTTATGATGGTTGAAAACGTTTATTAAACTATTTTTTGTTTTTATATATTTATGCTATTATTAGTATTTAATATTTTGTTATTATTTTTATGATGTAAATTATACTGTAATTGTAATTATTTTTGTGCCCATCCTGTAATTGGTTTTATACTGTTGGTGTAACCCAAATAAATAAATAAATAAATAAACATTTTGCTCTTCTCGGCAAACTGAATTCATTTGGTGATTTGACCTTATTTTATAGATATTTTAATAATTTAATGCTAGAATGTTCCTTTATTATCACGCCAGACCCACCTGTCCCCCAAAATGTCTTCCTATATTGTTAGCCTATAAAAATCTCCAACATTGTAGATGTTCGTATGTGATTGTTGCTTTTATGAATGTAATATTGAGCCAAAAACGTTCAGTTTTGTTCACAAGATTTTTCCCACAACTATTTTGTCACTGGTGTATCAAATTTAAAGCGTTTTTCATATAATGATTGATTTAGTAACTTGATTTACATGATTTAATTTCAGAATAAATTTTGTTTACACTTTTTTTTTGTATATTTTAGGTTATCTACTAACCAGGGTCGAAGGCAAAATTGGTTCTCCAGAAAAACCACTCAGTGATCTAGGCTTAATATCATATCGGTCGTATTGGAAAGACGTCCTTTTAGGGTACCTGTGTTCAAGAGCAGGCACCACTCTTTCTGTGAAAGACATAAGCCAAGAGATGGCAATCCACTCGTACGATATTGTATCCACATTACAAGCACTGGGTATGATGAAATATTGGAAAGGAAAGCATATTATACTTAAAAAACAAGATGTGTTAGATGAATATGTAGAAAGGGTGAAAAAACGGGGGTCTATGTTGAAGGAAGTGGATCCATCATATTTAAAATGGAATCCACTTCAACCTGCTTCTGTTTAAAATTTTATTTTTTTAATAAATGAATTAAAAATTCTGTATTATTTATATTGATTACTATGTAATATAAAAATTATTTTAATATTAATAAACAATTTTATAATTGGATTTTTTTTTGTTTCAAATCATTTTTCATTTTTATATATTGTTCCTTGAAAGAATATCCGAAATTTTATTTTTAGGATTGCAAATTATGACTCTCCAAGTCCATGATTGATTAATTAATAGAAGGTATTTATAATACCGACCTCTTAAGATATTTTCTTTTATTATAAGCAGGTCTATGAACAAAACGACAACATAATGATATTTCTTTTATTAGGAAGGCGGCCTTAAGGTAAATGATTCCAAATTATTAAAATACAAATTTCGTCAAAACCATAATAGTAATCAAGTCTTTTTAAGAGTACCTTTTTTGTAGTAAATGAGTTCAGCAATCCAAATTTCATATTTAAACCCCTTTTTTTCCATTGGCGTAGACATTTTTAAAAGTGCGATTGTTGAAAAATCAAGGTAAGTTTTATATAAATAGCAGAATTTTTCCATTTGTGTTTTAGTGGAAGTTAAGAGGAGATCAGTAAACATTAATATGGTATACAGTGCTTCTCAAATGTCCCCTCCCCCTCTTTTCTTTTGAACGGCGATACTTAGACTGTTGAAATTTGGAGGGTGCAAATGAACTATTGTAAGCTTCTCTACTAGTGGTAACAGGTGACGTAATAGGCATCGGTGACGTCACCAGGCAACTGAATCCAATAATATTAAATAGGACCTTATGGCAAGTGACATCTCGTTTGAAAGGTATTTAGAATACCTATTCAGTCATACTATTTTTTTTTGGCTTTACGATGTGTTTGATAGGTAGTTAAAATAAATAAACACTAAAATTTGAGTTTCGCTTTTAATTAATAAATATTTAAGAACAAGTTCTTATAATAATTGTTCAAAATGTGCTCCATCTACTTCCTGGCAGTAAAACATCCTATTATTAAACTCTTGTCGGACTCGATTAAATGTCAAGGGAAATTGCCCTACATTCTTCAACAATTCGTTTTTTAAAACGTCAATACTGTCAGGAGCTGTAGCGTAAACTTTAAATTTAAGATATTTCCACAGAAAAAAATCTAAAGGTGTTGGGTCCGGTGACCGAGCTGGCCATTCTATTGGATCGCGTCGTCCAATCCATCTACCAGGATATTCCTCATCTAGATAACGTCTTACTGCAAAGTGATAGTGTGCAGGAGCACCATCTTGTTGGAATGTTATTTCTAAGTTACCAAATTCATCTGGATTATCTTCCAGAATTTGAAGAATTAACGCTTTAATTGCGTTTTCTAACATCTCGAAATATACTTCACCGGTTAAATTAGAGTTCAAAAAAAGAGGCCCGACTATGTGGTTTCCCAAAATACCTGCCCAGACATTTACTTTTAATGAGAACTGTGTATGTTTTTCACGAAACATGTGAGGATTTATGTCACTCCAGTACCTCACATTTTGAGTATTAACATTCCCATTAAGAAAGAAAGTACTTTCGTCACTAAAACATAGTCTGGGTGTTGGACAATTTTAGTGGACATATTTTAAGAGAATTCCAGCCTTCGGTCGGAGTCGTCATCTAAAAGTTGATGCACCATTTTTAATTTGTATGGGTGAAATGTGTTTTGGGTTAACACCCTGTATACTGTACTGACTGACTCCAAAGGTAGACGCTACTTGGGCTGTGGAATAAGTAGGGTTTACTACAATTTCTGAAACTATATCAATTTGTTTATCAATACCAATATTTAGTCGACCCGATCGTTTGGCATCATGAACACTACTTGTTTGTTGCAACTTATGAAAAAGCTCCCTCAAATAAGTCCTCGATATAGGGCGATCGGGGTATCTCTCATTAAAAATGCGTTCCGCCGCATGAAAATTATTTCCACTTTCGCCAATAATTAAGATAGCTGTTACTTTGTCAGCTAGAGCACGTACCATTTTGTTTATGTAGATACTTAAACGTCTCGTTAATAATTTTAACTAAAAATTCAAGATATTATCGCCTGTAAAAACGTCAATTCAAAAATTTCAGCTTTTTGACAATTAACCATAGGCGGACTTTTGAATCTTTATTAATTAAAAGCGAAACTCAAATTTTAGTGTTTATTTATTTTAACCATCAAAAACATCGTAAATATAAAATAAAAATAGTATGACTGAATGGGTATTCTAAATACCTTTCAAACGAGATGTCACTTGCCATAAGGTCCCATTTAATATTATTGGTTTCAGTTACCTGGTGACGTCACCGATGCCTATTACGTCACCTGTTACCACTAGTAGAGAAGCTTACAATAGTTCATTTACACCCTACAAATTTCATCAGTCTAAGTATCGCCGTTCAAAAGAAAAGTAGATATATAAATTAGGAGTAGGTACATATTAAATATAAATAAATTAGTTATAAAATATTAGTGTATTTAGTGTAAATAAATTAAAATAATAAATGTTACATTGTTGTCAGAAATTGAGATATTGTAAATAAAAAGTGGGTAAAAGTGACGGAGTTACGTCGGGAATTAAGAGGATCGTGAACTGAAGACGACAGGGAAGAAACCAGAGTTGGCAGAGCGACTCAAACAAGCACTAGAAAGTGGGAATTTGGCTCAGGAGACGTATCTATTGGATGATGCATCTTCTGCTACAATTTCTTCTGATATTACTTCTATAAAAAACGAAATTTATTCCGATTTTGAAACTCGTCGGCCTACTTGACAAAAAGTATAAAAAATCTCTCCATTAGGGGCCTATTGTTTTGAAAAAAAACTGACTGGAAATGGGAGGTTAAGGGGCAGTTGCGTCTCCAGAGTTTAAGTCTGAGGGGAGTTGTGAAAATAAAGTTTAAATCTGGGGGGGGGGTAGTAGTAATATTTAAGACTTTATTTTTGATTATAATACATTTTAGTACCTATAAAAGGTTAGGTTTAAAAATTATTGGGGTGTAATTACCTCCATTACCCCTCCGTATATGCGCCCTTGTTAAGGAGAGTTGAAATATTAAAAAAAAAAAATACGTGTGGCACTCGGGGACTGCCGCGGTAAAGCTATTGCATAGCATTTTTTATCAACTTATGCAATTATAATTATTTATTTATTTTATTTATGCAGTATTTTTTTTTCTTTGATATTAATTCAAGTTTTTTCTTTGATATTAATTTAAGTTACACTTTTGAGCGTGGTGACCGATAAGAAAACAAATTTTATTGACTCTAATTCTTTCTTGAAGTTATAAATATCTTCTTCCTTTTTAGCAATCATTAGCCCATTGTCTACGTAAAATACTAAGAGAAATTTTGGAACTTTCCTAACGAATAAACATGAATCAGCTATACTTTGTTGTAATCCACATTTTTGTAGAAAATCGGTCAAACGTATATTCCAACAACGTGGAGCTTGCTTTAGACCGTACAGACTTCTCTTTAATTTACAAACTCGACCAGTATCGTCTTCATAACCAAGAGGTTGTTTCATGTAAATCTCTTCTTCAAGGAAGCCATAAAGGAAAGCTGTTTTTATATCAAATTGCTTCATTAATAATTTTTCTCGTGCAGCTATAGCTAGAACAGTTCTAATCGTGTCAAAGCGAGCAACTGATGCAAAAGTTTCTTCAAAATCATCCCAGGTTTTTGGCAAAAACCCTCTATGACCAAACGTGTTTTGTACCTGTCACGTTTCCAGTTGAATCTTCTTTGATTCGAAAAATCCATTTGTTAGAGATTGCTTTGCGGCCTGTAGGTAACTCCACCAACTATCCGACTCGTTATTTTTAAACAGAGTTTTGAATACATTGCCTGCCGAATATTTCAAGTTTAAAAATGCATGGCAGTCTGTACCAAAGGATCAACATACAATAGTTTTATTGTGTGAAAGATTATGTACTGTAGGACTACGAATACAGGAGAGAGGAGCTGAAAATCTTGATACGTTTGAAAAAACAACCTTAACTGAAAAGTCAAAGAACTCATCTTCACATAATCAAGACAATGTTGCTGATAAGAAGAAGAAAAAGGTAACCTGCTACCAGTATGGTAAGAGAGGACATGTAAAACGTGACTGTCCCAAGAAGGATGAGAAAATTAACAAAGGAGCTGGAGATACCTCTTCTGGTTCGGCTTTTGTGAAAAAATAAACACGAACGTATCGAGACCACCCCTTACCCTTATGGTTATTCGACATTTCTTTTTTTGAGTTGATTTTTTTTTTATTTGGTGTCATCGGCATCAACTACTAAGGTTATTAGCCTCGTGTTCTGTGCAGGCTTTGTTAATGTTTCCCAGCGCCACTTTAGGAACAGCACTGTTAACTAGAACCTAACAGTGAATGGTCGAGTGGGTAATCCTACCAAGGCATCATAATTAATTTTAAATAATTAAATTTATTTAAAAAATTCCGGTCAACGGTGGGATTCGAACCTGGGACCCTTGGATCCGCAGGCAGAGACTCTACTACTGAGCCACCCACCCCCTCATTTTAAGTTGAATTATCATTTTTTTTTATTGGCATTGTATTTTTATTTTTTTTTTCACTGATTTCACTTTTTGGAATATAAAACCTTTTAATTCAAGTTGCAGACCATTATTCATTCAGTCCACTGCCGTGTATAATCCTCGACATTTTTGTATTATAAAATATTGTACCTCATTTCCAAAAACACGATGATTCACCCTTATTGAATGTGACTCATCCTGATATGCGGATTGATTAAAAACATATTAAAAACAATTTTAACACCTTGTGGTTTTAAGTAGAGTTAAACCATTTTTGCACCGTATAAAATATTCCAAATCTTTCTTGTTCTTGTCTCTGGGTTTTTCTTACGTGGACGCGAACCAACGGAAATACCAAATCTTTGAGGCAAGAATGCATTAATATCCGGTTTGTAATTTCAAATTTAAATTTAGGCAACTCATGGAGCCGCACTAGCGTTTGGCATTTCCGTTTAGAATCT